TATATTTTGGAGAAATGAGGTTACCACGTAGAATAATTTAGAAAATCTTAAAGAAGAGTCAAAAAGAAAAAGCATCAAAGAAGAATTGAGTATTTAAAAAAAAGGACATCAGTAGAATGGATGATATTGTGGTTAGAAAGTCAAAATCCTAGCAAATACAAATCATTGTTTTTTTAAGCTTTATACCTATCTAATCTCGCAAAAGTATATTGTATTAGAGAAAAGGGTTAGCTAAATAAATCACGAGAAATATAATATATTTCATTTAAAGAGATACAATTAATAGCAACTATACTAATTGGTGTATCGCAATTCGTTAAAACTAATTAAATGGTCTACAGGAATCGATGAGCAATTTGAAAATTTGGTGTAAATGACGTTTAACCGGTAAACGCCAATTACTCTACTCCGTATTGCACTACATTTTCCAATAGGTGTAAATAATTTTAATGAAATTTACACTATGTATTCAATAATGTAGTATGTTATTTGCCCTTTGACTATGTGGTTTTATTGTAATATGGACGACCATTTTCGGACTATATTACAATATAGGTTATCAAATATACATTTTGCCAAGTCTCTAATGAGTATATTTATATGGTTTAACTATACTTACTCAACGATAAAAAGAAAATAAAAATGTCAAAGTAAATGCTTAAGTATACTTATAATATAGTTATATAAATATGTTACAAGTACTTACACAATAATTACACATTTATTTAAATAAATAAATATTTAAAATATAAATAAAATGCAGATATTAGAATCCTTAGGTGAACTCTTCTTCTTCTTCAGATGCAAATCCACTAATGGATGTTAGCGATCACATCATTAGATGAACGGCATAGTGGATATGTAAAGTTATTTTGTGTCAAGTTAGTAAAAGGAAACAAAAAAGCTTGTGGAATACAGTTAGCTGGAACAAATGTATGAAAAATGTTAATCTGATATAAGCAAAATCACATCAAAAATTTGAAAATATTCAAGATATTTAACCCAAAAAATTGCTCATGAAATATGTTTGGAAGAAACAGAAAAAGAAAGAGACTCTGACGAACTGAGGGACGAAATACTTGAGCTGTTTAAGGAGAACAATTGTCCTAATAAAAGTCTACAAAGCCGTGTACGGTAAATGACCTTATTTGTCTGTTGTTTGTTTTGATCGTAAAATATATAGTGTGATCAAATGTATTTATTACCGTACGATAAGCTCCAACAGTTATGTTCTAAAGCCATTTTTGGGCATAATACTAAAACGATTCCTTCGTTATTTGGCATCCACATAATTTACTGATGCACTAACTGACTTTGACAACTGACAATTGACTAAAAATTGCAACTACCAGATAACATAAGTATAAGAAACGGCATAAGAATGGGTTGCAAATTTTCACCCATCTTTATTTAGAAGGAATATTTACTGATTCAGAGATGCAAATAAAGTATCATCATCTTATTTTCCTTCTATTGTGAGAGGCATTTTTGCCTCCATTTATGACCACCTTGTTCTTGGCCGTACTATTGTCATTCTTCCATTTAGCGATCAGTCTTTTGTTATTTCGTTTTGTTTTATTCAATTTTTTTTTATTTTTGGTACACTGGCTTATATTTTTTATCCTACATCTCGTTATAATTTTCTTGTATCTTGTTTTGTCTATCATCATTTTTTTCGTTATATTTAGGATGATGATTTGCCATTATTTCCATAGTGTCTCCTAATTATCGGTATGATTTCGGTTGATAGGATTCGCTGAAAGCTCTCCGGTAAAAAGAAACTAGGAGATCTTGATTGATTGAGAGATTGAATAGACAATCTACTTTATCAGTCTATAATAAAATATTCTTATATAAACATACAATAAAACCTGTATGAATATATGGCGCCAGCTGTGGGGTTGTGCCACTAAGATGTCACCTAGACATTTCCAAATAAAGTTCTAAAAAACATCGTCAACGATTCTTGATACTTCAGAAACTATGACCTATACAGGGTTTTAAAATTGGATGCTGTTAATCGAAAGCCCATCGAAAAATTTGCACAGGCATGAACAACGAGTTCTTCATACGACAATAGTCAGGCCATCCACCTTATCAATAATACAAATCCTATTAGAGGACTCTATAATCGAGAATCAAAATTGTGGGCAGTAAATCCTTAGAAGTAATAGTGACGTTTCAGCGCTATTGTGGGTACGTAGGTGTTGTCGTAGAAAGACGTACGAAAAATTTCATAAAAGTTATGACAAAGTTACTAGAAATACCTATTTATAATATTTTTTGAGTTAATTACAATAAATAATTTTAGGTTACTAGGTCATAGTTAAATCTTCCTAAAACCGCTATCGTCGATGAAAGCCGGCAACTTAAAGATTCAGTTGTTTTGCTGACGAAGTAAATAGAATATGACTCACATAAACACATTGTAAATAATTATTTTTTTGACAGCGAAGACAGTAAGTCGTAAAATTTTATTACAACTTCAGTGTAAGATAAAATTATGAAATCGGCTTAATTATTTCATTAGCTTACCGAACACTTAACACGTATTTTAGTGTAGTGAGCAATAAGGAAAGCTAGAGCAGTCAACGTAAACGATGCCCAAATTTTTCAATGGGAGAAAAAACGATTATATACAACGTCTGTCGTGGACTCCGTGAAAGAAATAAAAGTATGTTGGCCAACGATGTAGTTACTCTGTGTAGAGATTTGGCTAAAGTGTCGACGAGGAATGGTATACAGAATTCTAAAAGATTTTAAACAAAGTGAAGGCAAATCGGATAATGCATCTCTTATGTATCTCAATGTAAACATTGAAATGAGAGTTAGAAAACGCATCCAGCTTGAAGATGGCATTAAATATGCTATTTGGACGAAATACCACGCTTTATTTTTTCGGAACGAAACCCCAACCTTAAATGAAAGTTGAAGTCAAAATAAATTCCGACTGATTTAATACCCAAAATATCACGACGTGTTTTATTGCGAACATTAGGCCAAATGAACATCACATAGCTATAAAGAAGCAGGAACATTGCTTCTCTAGCAAAAGATAAAATTATCTTTTGGTCAAGATATCGTGAAGGGCGTCGTGAAGGACGAAAAGTGTTCTATTTAGATGAAACTTGGCTGAATCAAAGTCATACTGTCTCGAAGGTGTGGCAAGTTTTTAAAATAAAAATCGTTGACAAGCCTTCATTGAAGGTTTTCAATAGGTTTAAAAACACCAGTGGGTAAAGGACGAAGGCTCATAATAACACATAAAGGCAGCGATTATGTTTTTTTTTTGGACAACGGCTTGTTACTATTCGAATTCAAGAAAACCAATGATTATCATGAGGAAACGGATGCTCAAAGATTCGAAGGTTAGTTTTCAAAGATTCTAGCAAACCTTCAAGCAAATTCTGTCGTTGGTCGTTGTTATGGGCAATGTATCATACCACAGTCGACGGTTGGAGTAAACACAAGCAACTGTTGACTTTCTAAAAAAAATACCATTTGATGACAACATGTTGAAATGAAATGAAATATAAATGGCTCGTGAAAACAAACATACAATTGTACTTAGCTTCTCTTATTATCATTGTGAACTGAACCCTCTCGATCTTATATGAGCTCAAATAAAAAAGTAATTAATTTTCTTAGTAGTAATGAAGGTTAGGGGAAAATTGCTTACTAATAAGTCCTGATCAGATGGTAATGTTAATAATCATCCTAATAAGTGTTAATACCAATAAAAAACTTGTTCTTTTAAAAAGTACAAGACACAAAATTGAATCATTTTGAGTTACCTAGTGGAGCTCATACATTTTTTATTTAAAGGTGGAAAAAAGTTAATGCAAACTAATCGTTTTATAAGAACTAAATGACACTTCATTCACTTTCATGAAAATATATAAAAAATTGGCAAAAAAATTTTGCGTAAAATCGATCAAGTTAAATCATATATATTTCACCAAATATATGATATATTTCACCAAATATATGATATATTTCACCAAATGTACTAAAATGTATATATTGGTTAAAAATGCTTAAAATTTTATTTACTGAATATGATTTCATGAGTTTGGCTTCGTTGTCTCTATATTTTCTTTATAATGAGATATATTAATGTAAAAGTATCATTAACAGCGTTTCATTAATAATATAAACCATCAAACACCTTCTTTGCCGACATGTGTCACAAGCAAATACGTAGATGAGGAGATATATCTGCAAAAAATATGCATTAGGCCTTGTATTTTTTGTAATTTTAACGAAGTAGTTTTACAAATCTGTTTATCGAGGAATGCGAAATAGGATAATAAGACAAAGGAAGACTTCTTCGCTGGATCAACAATGTTGAATAAGATTAGAGGAAACTGGGAGTCAGAAGACGACAAAAAGTGGTTGATGCTCGATCTTTTTGAAGTCAGATAGTTTATAAGGTCCTCTTATATATTTTTTATTAATATAAACTGTAAATTTTTGAAATTTTTTCGTCTTTGTGTGGGAAATTATTTATTTGCACGAATAGTCCTATCCCAGGATTGTACAAATCACGTACAGCTTTAATATTAGTATTTAAATAAAGTTTTTCAAGTCTCAAATCATTTTGAGATGAGCTCGTTAAAATTAACTGATAATTGCATGTGATGTTCACGTAATTTGAGTATGAAACTAGAATAGTATCAAATAAATTTGGTAACTCACATTTAATTAATTTACGCAACACAAACCAACAATTATTTGATAAAAATTGATAAATCTCCTCAACTAAGGTACTTGCCGCAAAAGCTTTATCAGTAATAAATCGATCATACAAACAACTTGGAAAATATCTCAATGGCGTTTATGCAGACCTTCGTATACAAGGGTGCATCGTAAATTGTCTAGAATTATTTAAATAGCAGTACAACTGCAAAAAAACAGTCTTATTGAACACGCGTGGAGGCCGCGTGAAAGCATTTTGAGATGGAGGAATGTTTATTTTTGTTCACTTTTAGTTGTAACATTTATTCTTCTTCCAGTTCAGTCTCTTCTCCTGGGCCGTACATGTTTGCCAGTTTATCGAATCGAGGTCCCCAGGCGCCCAGGTATTCGTATTCTTGAACTTCGTCATCTGTGCCTGAAAATAAATATAATTGATTAATTTTAGGATAAAGATTCAGGACTATTGGTCAAATATAAGAACGAGTTTGAGATTTTGCCTAAAAACGCATATAACGCGAGTAATCATTCGGAGAAACAGTTTATCTTCATGAAATGAGGTTGAATGCTCGAATAAATGAATTTGAAAATAAGGCTATTATCGAGCACAAGTTAATTAAATCTAACCCAAGTACTTCGCTTAAAATAGCATCTTCAGGGGCATCTGAAATAAGCCAAGAAAACGTTTTTTAGATGAAGTAAATTAGTTAACTTCGATAAAAAACTCGAAGTTAATGGATGAAAAAAGTTTTTGAGATTAACGTTTTAGACTTACTTCGTCAAAATGTAAACTATCCGGCACAAGCGTAGAATGTGGAAACATTAAAAATAACATAAAATTGTACAAAACACTACACTAAAACGAGGACAAACAGTTTAAAATTACTTAAAGATTCTACGCTACATTCTCTGTTAGTATCTGGAGGGATAATGATCTAAGCGGAAATATACGGTGACATGTGACATAAGACAACTTTGATAGGCAGTCAAAGTTATGGATCTGTGATCAGCAAATATTAAAATTCTGTATAAGTTGTCATTAGCCAAAGGTCCAACTAGAACTACTACTGAAAAAATCAGCTGATGAAGTATGACATATAGAATATTTTGATTTAAACTAGATTGCATAATCCTGATCTCACACTCACACCCGTCTGTAATAATAAGGTTGTAGGTTTGAGGCTAAATGAAGTGTACATAAAGTAGTGAATGAAAGAAATAGACCAAACGATCTATTGGACAGTGGGTAGTTGACTACAATAAAATGGTCTACCAGGCACTGTCAATACTGCAAAACGAGAAGAAAATTGACTATGAAATTGAAATATTAAAATTAGATCAGAATTGAAAGCAGTGTGTAAATGCGTATAGTTCAAGTAGTTCAGTTAAACCTCAAGCCAATGGGGAACTATAAAACTAATATGTAATAGCATTACTAAAGACCAATTGACCAACAGGTGTTGAAATATAAAACTCTGGAATAAGTATATGTAGATTATGCAGAGGTATGAAGAGTGAAATCACTCCAACTGTGGATCAATTGAATCTGAGCAAGCTAGTTGTGTAAATTGTTAATAGTAGGGTTAGTAGTAGTAGTAGGGTCTTTAGTAATGCTATTACATATTAGTTTTATAGTTCCCCCATTGGCTTGAGGTTTAACTGAACTACTTGAACTATACCATTTACACACTGCTTTCAATTCTGATCTAATTTTAATATTTCAATTCATAGTCAATTTTCTTCTCGTTTTGCAGTATTGACAGTGCCTGGTAGACCATTTTATTGTAGTCAAACTACCCACTGTCCAATAGATCGTTTGGGTCTATTTCTTTCATTCACACTTTATGTACACTTCATTTAGCCTCAAACCTACAACCTTATTATTACAGACGGGTGTGAGTGTGAGATCTGGATTATGCAATCTAGTTTAAATCAAAATATTCTATATGTCATATTTCATCAGCTGATTTTTTCAGTAGTAGTTCTAGTTGGACCTTTGGCCAATGACAACTTAAGGTGGATTTTCACAGGTCCGATATCCGATCGGTTACGATGATACGATATAAATTTCAGCGAATTTCATTGGTTGCAAAATGAGAGGTGGGATTTTCGTACGAAACTAAAATGTATCGGAAGAAAGTTAAAAATATATTTAACTTTTACACGAAAATCGGATGAATTTTGACATTGTTGACATTTTTACTTGAACCTTAACTTATTTTTGTGAAGTGTTTATGTTTAATATTTGAAATATATTTAAAAAGGGACAAATACCTAATTATTTAAATAAAAATGCAATGAATAAAGTGTTGCTTTTGGGTATTCTACGCTATGTGAGGCAAAAACGACGAGACCGTAGCTCAATACAATATATATTATAATTAAACAAAAATAGCTAAGATTTATTGACAGTGCATTGACATAAATATCAATCCATCGAATCCATCCAATAATCTGACAAATAACACATACATATGAAATGTATGTCAAAACACTTCGGATACGAAAATCAAATATATTCGTACGAAAAAAAAATCGTATTTCGTGTCATCGGATATCGGATCTATGAAAATCAGCTTTATACAGAATTTTAATATTTGCTGATCACAGATCCATAACTTTGACTGCCTATCAAAGTTGTCATATGTCACATGTCACCGTATCATTTCCGCTTAGATCATTATCCTCCAGATACTAACAGAGAATGTAGCGTAGAATCTTTAAGTAATTTTAAACTGTTTGTCCTAGTTTTAGTGTAGTGTTTTGTACAATTTTATGTTATTTTTAATGTTTCCACATTCTACGCTTGCGGATAGTTTACATTTTGACGAAGTAAGTCTAAAACGTTAATCTCAAAAACTTTTTTCATCCATTAACTTACGAGTTTTTTATCGAAGTTAACTAATTTACTTCATCTAAAAAACGTTTTCTTGGCTTATTTCAGATGCCCCTGAAGATGCTATTTTAAGCGAAAGTACTTGGGCTAATTAATGTTAGTTTTGGTTAATGGATAGTAATTGGTTTAATTAACTTGTGCTCGATAATAGCCTTATTTTCAAAGTTTAGTTTATCTTCAATTCAATTGATTCTATGTAGCGTGTGTTCAACGTTAATTATGTGACAGTTCATGAGATATTTAACCTCTACAAATCATACGAACAAGCTGAGTTTTGCTGAGAATATCAATTTTAGGACCCAAAAAAATGAAAAAAAATTTTTCCATTTAAAAATGGAAAAAATCCATTTACTAAGTGTTGTATAGGTACGTGTAATGTAATAAAAATGGTGTTGAATGTATTTTATGTTCCTTTATTTCACTAATTAAAATCATGTGTGTAGTAACCTACATAACGTAACCCCGTAAGTAATGAAGTGAGTAACGTTCCATGAAATCTGTCCACGTCCAAGTGTCATGTTATAGAACTACTAAAATGTTAAGTATATGACAACTCTCCTCCTCTTAAGGAAGTGCTAAACTTGTAAGGTTAATATATTAAAAAAAAAAAACATAATACAACTCCAGTTGTAGTAAGCAAGTTGAAGTCTTATTTGAATCATGTATATCTGTATCTTGAACTGAACTACAAGATGGTGCTGCTTCATTTGACGCAAAAGTATTTGTAACAATTGGATTATTATTCAGGTCAAAATGTGTCGGTTGTATAATAATGTATACAGGTGTATTTTCCCCTATAAATCTGATTTGATCTGTATGTCTCTTCTATATTCTTGTATCGTCTAACAGTATAAGACAGTGTAATTTCCCTAGTTTAAGTTTGGCTCTACCAAATTCCCATTTATCAACATGTATGTAATCACGAGTCTCTACTCTCTTTCCCACCTCTAAGTTTCTTACCTTGAGATGGTTTCGATTTTGTACAGTCGGTCCTAGTCTTATAGGTAATCTTTGGTAAAAGAAACCAGGTATTGAAAAATACGGGTACATCTCAGTGGAAATATTAATTCCCATTAAAAAAAAATATCTGTCCATTTTGTAATAACACATCAAAAGTAATTTTATTAATGCAGAATGCATAAATTGAGTCAAATAACTAGTTATCTGCTATTCACTGAAGAATAATACATAACTTGTGATACTTTTAGTGTGTAGTATTTACCTGAAGCCAAAGAACTTAATGATCCAGCCGTGCTGCCGCCTCCTTCATAAGCATAATTCCTCAAGTCGTCGAAAGGTGGGGCATTAGGGTCGCTATCAGCTCGTTTCTTGTGTTCCTCGATGAAGACTCCTACGTTAGGTTCTTGACCAACGCCCATGATAACTGTAATGAAAAATATAAAAATATAAATATAAATAGTAAAATAAATACAAAAAGGACGAGAACCAAAATAACATTTTCTAGAACAATAGTATATTATCATTAGTTATATTTAAAAGAACATGCAGGCTTCAGGGCAGGATATGGCACAAATGACTATTTGCATACCATAAAGATCTTAATAGAAAAGTGCATGGAGTACAAACATACCACTGGTTCTTGCATTTCTCGATTACGAGAAGGCTTTTGATTCTGTAGAGTTTGAAACAATACTTGAAGCCCTAAATCAAAGCCGAATAGATTACAGGTACACGACACTAATCAAAAACATCTACGAGAAAGCTACATCAAGTATACGATTACACGAAGACACAGAAAAATTCAGCTTAGGTCGAGGAGTTAGACAAGGAGACAATATTTCACCAAAATTGTTCACGGCAGCTCTAGAGTCAATATTTAAGAGCACTCAATGGCAAGATATGGGCATCAATATAGATGGAGAAAGATTAAATCACCTAAGATTTGCAGATGATGTTGTATTAATCGCAGATAATTTACATGATACAGTTTCTATGATGCATTCGCTTAAAAGTCTGTCTGAAAGAGCAGGATTAAAGATAAACTTTGAGAAAACTAAACTTATAACAAATCTCGTCATGTGTGGAAATATAAACTATTGAAAATAATACCATACAACAAACAGACACTTACAAATATCTGGGGACACGAAATCAAAATAAGCAGAGACAATCAAACACATGAAATACAGAGGGCCTAACATGGGCAGCATTTGGCAAATTAAGCCATATTCTAAAAAGTTCAATTCCCATGTGTCTCAAGCGAAACGTTTATAACCAATGTGTTTTACCTGTACAAACTTATGGAGCAGAGACTTTAACACTCACAGCAAAAATCTGCGAATATAAACTCAGAGTTACACAACGAGCCATGGAACGTGCAATGCTGAACGTGAGCCTTCGAGACCACATAACAAACCAACAAATCAGGCAAAGATCAGAGTTGAAGACGTCATCGAAAGAACCACGACGCTTAAGTGGAACTGGGCAGGGAACTTAGCCAGAACACAAGATGGACGGTAGACAAGACGTATTATGGAATGGAGGCCCAGAAACTATAAAAGAAGCCGAGACGACCACCGACTAGATGGAACCTATGATATAAAATGTGTAGCGGGAAACTGGCTACAAAGCGGGCCCAGTGTAGAGAACACTGGAAAGAACTGAGGGAGACCTATGTCCAGCAGTGGACGAGATTGGCTGATTGATGATGATATTTAAAATATTCTGTTTTATCCTTGTTTAGTTATTAGACTTGTCAGATCGCAATATATAGAAAATATGAAATGGAGTAAGATTATAGACAGTGCGGTTTTTACAATGGGAACTGGGGAAGCAATATTATATAAATGCAGAGATCAACAAAAGGACGTGTATGTCTGTTTCATCGACTATTCAATAGAGTGGAAAACACGGTGGTGGAGTTTAGACTCTACCTCATAGATGGTGGGGAAAAGGGTCAAAATAAATTAATAATAACATAGGAATGTTAAGAATATGGTAAATTGTTGTGATATATTAAATATGTTAAGAATATGAATAAACAATATATAATAGAAAGCTTTTATTGCATTCTTACAAGCATTCGAGAACCTGGTCACCTGACGAGAGCTGTAAAACCCAGATAAATCAATGAAATTAAACAAATTTGTGGTCGAAATTATTCCTTAAGAAACGCTCTAAAAAATTTATTCAATTTTGTTATACTTAAAATGACCAGAAAAAAAGTTACAAGGCATAAAAGAAAGGTTGTTCAAAAATTTTTAGTCATTTTTGTAAATTTTCAATGGACTAAAATAGGAAGGAATAGAGTTTGGGAATCGGACATCATCGGAGAACGACGTTGTAAACCGATTGTGTATTCATACTTACATCCGATCTTTGGTGGTCCTAAATCAGGTAGAGGTCCTCCGATTGGAATTTGTAGAGGAGTAATATCGAAGGCAGTCATATCATCTTCACCGCCGCCTTCATCGTCGTAGTTAATAATGTTTTCCCTGACATCATCATCGGGACCGGGGTATTTGATGTGAGATTCTCTTCGTCTGTTGTATACGACGAATACGAGCACTAAGACTGGAAGATTAGAAAAACAAATTAATATTGGTTAAACAATTTGATGCGAAGATATTATTAGAAATGTTTAAGGTTTGATATAAAATTGAATCTACTGGATATCAAAACGGTAATACTAAAGTTGTTAATGTGGTAACTTTGTCAACTAATTAGTGAGGAATACGTAATTACGGTTGCCTTCCATCATCTTATATACATATTATATTATTTTTCCCTTATTGGGAGCTATACCGATACTTTCTACCTGTTTATCAAATCTTGGTTAATGTGGAAATTAATCTACAACAAAATTTAATAAATAAGTCCTCTAGCACAAACTGTAATCATAAGTAATATTTGAGCTACTCATAATCATGTTTAATGTCTATCAACTGGGTTATTTTTATGTCTTTTAGGGTAAATATTTTATATATAGCATTTTATAACTATAAAGCAAGAAGCTAAAAGGAAACGAAGAATAAACTGGTAAAGTAACGGGAAAATTAATAGTTATAATTGCATAGTAGGTCTTAAACAGCATATGAGTTGGTGAGTACGAGCACTTTCGGCTATCAGCATTATGCACACCTGTCGAACTTCTTCTTAGTCGTTAACCTGATGCAAGTATCGTGATATCATGAAGCTGATAGGAAATTTTTCCAATGTTCCTCCACGTTTTTCTATCTTCTGCCAATCTAGCACATTCTGACAATGGAGCGCCAATGGTAGCAACAATATGGTCCGTGTATCGTGTAGGAGATCTACCTCTACTTCTTTTGCCTTCTACTTTTCCCTGGATGGTAAGTTTTTCAAGACCATTTCTTCGAAGCACATGTCCAAAATAGCTTATTATTTGTTCTGTTATTTGTGTTCTTAGTCTTTTCTTTATGTTTAGCTGGACCAGTATGGATTCATTTGTTCTTCGGGCCACCCATGGTATTCTCAGCATTCGTCTCCAGCAGTACATCTCAAATACATCTATGTTCTTTTTGTCTTTCTCAGTAAGGGTCCAGCATTCCGATGCATAAGTAAAAACTGGAAAAACTAGACTTCTTACTAGTCTCATTTTTGTATCGGTAGTAATTTCATGGCTTTTCCAAATTTTTGTTAATTTTGCCATAGCGCTTTTTGCGATTGCTGACCGCCGCTTTATTTCTTCAGTACAGCCTCCTTTGTTGGTTATTAATGAGCCCAGATACACAAATTTATCTACAACAGCGATATTGTTTATCCAACCAGATGATTTTGATTGTTGTTAGCTCTGTCAATTATCATGATTCTCGTTTTATCTCTGTTTATTTTAAGGCCCATCGTTAAGCTTACGTCTTCTATCCGTTGTAGCAGGTGAATCAATTCAGTTTCAGAACTAGCGAGGATAGTAGTATCATCTGCATATCTCAAGTTGCAAATCTTCTTCCCGCCAATGGTGATGCCACCGTTCCAGTCCTCAGTAGCTTTCCGCATTATCCATTCACCATAGATGTTAAATAAAATTGGGCTTAGTATGCAGCCTTGTCTCACGCCCTTTGTGACCCTGAAACTGTCAGTTAGTTCCCCATTTATTCTAACTCTGGCATAATTGTTATTGTACAGGCTTTTAATTAGCAGTATCAGATGATTAGGGACTCCCATTTCAGACAAAACCTGCCACATTTTACTCCAGTTGACCAAATCGAAAGCTTTACTATAATCTATAAAGCACAAATATGTTGTGATGTTGAAATCTCTGGATTTTTCTACAATCTGCCGTACGTTTAAAATTTGTTCTCTAGTACCACGTCCGGGACGAAACCTGCTTGTTCCTCCGCAATGTTAGGTAGTAAAAAGGGCTTTATCCTCTCGAGAATTATGTGTAAGAGTATCTTACTGCAATGCGCAATTAGAGCAATTGTGCGATAGTTGCTACATAAATCTTTCGCTCCCTTTTTATGTATGGGAATATATAGTGATTGTGTCCAGTCCTCAGGCCATTTACCTGTCTCCCACACTCTTTGACAAATTTGATGTATTATATCCACTCCAACGTCATCTAGGGCCCAAATCATTTCAATAGGTATGTTATCTGGACCGGCAGCTTTTTGACTTTTTTGCCTCATAATTGCTGCTTCAACTTCACTTTTGAGTACGTCAGGTTCCGTCGCAAAACTGGCATCTTCTTGTTGTGATGGGGCGTCTGTGCTTTCCTCCATCATCAGTCGTCCACAGTATTCTTTCCATCTGTGTAAAATACCTTTTTTAGAAGTGAGTGGAGTTCCGTTATCATCTTTGATAGCAGGTAGTTTGGTGTAAAGGAACGTGTTATCTGCTTTATTTTTTTAAACATGTCTCTGGTCTCAGTTTTGGTTTTATGCCCTTCTATTTCCATGCAGATTTTGTTCAAGTGTGTGTTGTTGTACTTTTTGCAGAGTCGTTTTATTTGAACGTTCAGTGCTTTATAGGCCTCTTTATCACTTTCACTGTTCAGTCCTGTGGCTTTTAAGCACTTCCTCTCCTGTATTTTAGTCCACGTGGAGTCCGTTATCCATTGTTTCCTTCTTTCTTCTCGATCACTCTTAATATTTTTCGCAGCATTATGCAATATGGATTTGTTTTTGTCCATATGCTGTTTGAGGACTCGTCTGGATTTAATGATTGTTTAAGGTCACATAGCTTTTGCATTGCGGCTTTTTTGTACGGATCGTTATATCTTAGATGCATTTAGTTGTTGTATTTCCTGTTTTTGGACTGTTTCTTAACTTCATGCGGAATTCAGCTGATAAAAATTGATGGTCGCTATTACAATCTTTTCCTGGATAGGTCTTAACATCCTTAACAGCGCTCCTCCAACGGGTTTTTACCAGTATAAAATCTATCTGATTTCTGTATCTATTTCCTGGTGATATCCAAGTGTATAGTCGTCTTGGGTGATGTTGAAAGCCTGTATTAGTAACAAACAGGTTGTTGTCTATACAAAGGTGTAGCAAGCGTTCTCCTCTGTCATTTCTTTGGCCAAGTCCATTATAATCCGACGGTCTCTCGCAAGTAATGATCTTCTGTAGTTACACCATTTTAGCGTTGAAATCGCTTACGACTGCTGTGATTTCTCTATTTGGAAGCTTCCTAAGCTTCCTAAGCGTTGTCGAACACTTGCTTCTAATCACCAGCCTTATGCACACCTGTAGGACACCTGCTTCTGGTTACCTGGGACAAGGAAACTGCTCTATAAACAATACACACGAAAAATAATACAATCCAAACTATGAGCTTCGAGCTTCGTATGAGCTTCGAGCTTATCGACAGCTATCAACCGCTAGAGCAGGCAAGATCCCGAAAGGGTTACAGTACAGCGGATCACCTTTTTACAGTCAGAACTTTAATAGAGAATGCCAATGAATACGACTCGAACTTATACATAAAATGCTCATACATAATATTTACAAGAAAGATACAATGAAAATACAAATAGATGCGAAAACCAAAGCTACACCAATCAACTGAGGAGTTCACCAGGAATTCACCAAAGCTATTCATACTTGGACTGGAAGATATGTTCAAAGACAGTAACTGGACTATAAAGGAATAAATGTTAATGGAAGACCATTTAAGATACGCTGATGATAGTGTCATATTTGCTACAAGTTTCGAAGAACTACAGACCATGATGACGCAACTATTTCAAGCTTCGGAAAAAAAATAGGTCTTAAGATGAACTTAGAAAAAACAAAAATAATGACAAATACACCCAATATTAGAGAAATAACGTTAAACGACATACATTTAGACACAGTAAGCGAATACATCTAATTGGGACCGATAATGAATCTTAACAAAAAAATTAAACTGCCGAAATTACCAGAAGAATATGGTTGCGTGGACAGGATTTGGAAAATTGAGTTGGATCTTGAAAAGCTCTAAAATAGAACAATATTTGAAAACCAGAATATACGATCAGTGTATCCTCCCTATACTCACGTATGGTTCACAGACGTGGACTCTTACCAAATCTAATATGGATAAAATAGTAAAAGCGATGGAAAGATCAATGCTCGGGGTGAGACTTAAAGACAAAAAAACAAACAAATGGATTAGAAGCAAAACCAAAGTAAAAGATGCAGGAGCACATGCTGCCAAATTAAAATAGAGCTTCGCAGGACACAATACCCATTGAACGATAAGAGATGTAACCACGAAATACAACAATGCAGACAATGGTTAGGAAAGAGAAGCAGAGGGAGACCACAAATGAGATGGGCGGATGATATTAAGAAAATCGGAGGACACAATTTGGAGGAAGCAAATGGCGCAAAATAAAAGACACTGGATTGGGAGAGGTCTATATCCAAAGTTGGACTACTTAAAGCTGAGGAAGAAGAAGAAGAAGATGGTATGAGCACAAGAAAAGCTCTATTTCTGGTAATATTTATTTACTGATGCTAAGGTTTCCACTACAATAGAAAAATAATATTTTCTAGACTACATAAATTTTGAGAACAGAATTTTGAAACAGCAGAACAAGCAGAATTTGAAAGGGTTTGATTATGTTATGTTACATCCATATATTTCAACAAAACATTCGATACAATGGAAATATAGGCATTAAGAAAGTTGCCGAAGAGAAGGCGAATAGACTGTCGATATATTCTGATAATTCAGATTGAAATAACAAGAAGCTTTGAACAAAGAAACCTTTTTCTCAAAGCTATGTACAGTTAGACCTGTCGAAAACTGGCAAAATACAGAAATACATTAACTTTATACGTCAAAACTGAAATTTGTCAAAATCCGAACAAATCAAATGGAAAATAGTGGAGTTGACATTGGAGACCAAAAAAAGCAAAAAAAAACAGAAAATACAAGAGGAAGATACAAACAGGACATAACAAAAGCTGACCAAATACATTGAATGATTCGATGACAATTGCATGATTAGAACATGGCAACCGGAAAGACTAGGGAAAATATATATGCTACTAAATATAACTATAAATATGACATAACATTTTTCTAGAAGAATTTAGTATTTATAACGACCTCTAGATATT